TGGTCCCTGAACATTATTGAAACTCCGTCAGTTGCTCTTTTGAAGATCCCTATACCGCAGTTAATTTGATCTACTTTGAACCAGGTGATTAATGGGGCCTGTTGGCCTGTAATCAAAATTGTGTATTGATCAACTGCTTAAAGATTTCAGGAGTTGATAAGATGTTTCGCCTTAGTTGTCAATCCCTCTGCTAATGTTGATTGGACCAGCCTGTCGATAGTTTGGATCAACTGATTAAATATCTTCTACCGAACCGATCTCTGCTGAATATTTTAACCTGAAGCTCACGTCCTGCTTTGGTGAGACTTGAACCTCATGCTGGTGAGCGCTTTGTCGACTGAAAGAGGCGTAAATACTCCCATTTCGCGCCGAGCTTGGTCTTGTTGATTGCTAAGTGTAGAAGTACAGGGTACTACACGTATCACTTGCCAAAATAATAATAAATGGAAGTTGATACTTAGCTCTCAATCCTGTATTCCTGAATTCTCCTCCACTGTTGATGGTGTTTTTCTCTTTGGTAAGCCCTTTATCGACTCCAGAGAGGCGTGAATGCCTTCAGTCAGCGTCGAGCTTGTCGATGATGATTGCTCTCATTTTTGGGATCTCTTGTGTTGCTCACAGATCTTCTCGGTGTTTATGCTGTCACTCGCACTGTTGCTAACAGCACCGATTGTTGTTCTGCTTCTGATAGTTAACTAATGTGGTTAATTTACTCTTCTTTCAAGATGTAGCTGATGATCTAACTGTTGGTCGGAAGGTCATATCTCCACTCGGTGACCCCTGACCTCTTATTGGTGATGCTCTTCCTTCTGGTCAGTTCTTTATCGATTCGAGAGAGGCGTCAATTGTCTCAGTCGTCGCCGAGCCGTTATTGATGATTGTCTCACTCCTGGAATCTTTAGATTCCCCTTCGTTGACGATAGTGATGGTATTCTGTTCAAGTTGTTGCTAACAGCACAAGATGTTGGTCTGTTTCTCTCCTACCAATTGTTGATATTAAATGGTGATGTTCTTTGTTCTCTAATTGATTAGCTAATGGGTGGGGCTTTCTGTTGCTATCAATGCTCTGGATTTCGTAGTTGAAAGTGACCAATGAAATTGAGGATTGATCACGAATATTGTTCGTAATTCAATCTTTTATTTCTTTCAGACTATCAAATTGTTGTTCATTTCCCACTGTTAATGGAGATAGAGATGAGATATCCGAAGACCTTGAAGGTGTTGATCTCTTCTTGATTTTTGCTGATTTGTTAATCGTTTATCTGGTAAGCCTTCTGTCAACTCAAGAGAGGCGTAAATTTCCTCAGTCGGCATCGAGCCCGTTGAGGCTTGAAAGATTCTTGTAGTCTTGCGGTTTTATCTTCGTTGTTTCAGAGTCTCGTCATCTAGTAATTTTTTTAGTAGATGAACTACCATCTGCTTGATGAGGTTCTCTCCTCCCCTACCAGGTCCTTGATGAGGATAAACCTGTCAGATCAATCGTCTGATCCAACGTCTTGATTGTTTGGATTGCAATGTTCCAATTGAGTTGCTCTTATTTTAAGCTGATCTTTTAGATAATCAATGAGTTTCACGCATTGTCGCTTGGTTGATGCTACTTATTCATAAACATTTCGAGTGACTTATTTCTGATCTTGTGGAAGAAATTCAATTAATTTTTCTTTTAACTGAGTAATTCCTTGCTCTCTTTTTGATAATTTCTTCTTGTCCCTTGAGTTCCTCAGATGTGAGATTGTTGATATCTGTTGCTCACTATAATAGATCTTTTTCAATTTCTGTCAGGGGATTTGCTTCGAACATTAAGTAGCGCATCTTTATAACCTGAGGAACTGCAAGAACAGTCGTTGGTTCTTCTGCCGTATCCGACCATCTCTCGATGATTAGCTGCTTCTGCTGAGGAGCCTTTGGAGTGTTTCTAGTAGTAACTGGACGATCTTGTTCAGGTGTTACTGGAGAAACTAACACCTCAACTGCTTCCTGTTCTTATCTGTTCCCTTGATATCGATAACTGTCTCTTTATCTGACATGATGAATTCCTATTATAACTTTATACTCTGATAAGTTACCTACTGAGTTTTAATCAGTAACCGACTGCTGCAGGTTCAGAGCGCGTGAGTATGCTAGCTTATCGGCGCCGCGTTGTAATTGCGGTTGATGGTTGATATTCTCCGATATTGACCAGTGCACTCCGAAGTTTTCCGAGTCTCTCTTGCTCCACTCTATCTACAGCTCTAGATATTTGACACTCGAATATTTTTTTCTGTAATTATGCAGAAAGACTCCACTACCACCGATTTTTTCTAAATTTTGTGAGTGGTTAGTACTACACTAAAGATAGTTAATCCTAAAATATTACGTGTCGGAAATAAATATTATGGATGTTATGGGCTATGGAAGTGTTACTTACCTCACCGCTCTCTGCGTTAATCAGGACTAACAACGAGGACGTGTTGGTGTCTGGTCCCTCAGACAACACATGTTGGTACATATCACAGACATGGGACAACACAGAGATGGATTATGAAAGGACTCCGACCGATACCTCCGGCAACAGCAACCAAACTACCCCCTCCACCGCTCCTCCATATGGCTAATTTCAATTTATAGAAATTATATATTGCAATTCACCTGCTTCGCCGACCGCACCACCCAGAATCCATTGGTGGGGGGGG